AAATTATCATTAAAGATCTAGATATTAAAATGATATGTGATGATTAGAACGATTATTGTATGATTTTATTAATTAAATGATGATGATTTACCGATTTAATTGATTATTTTTATAAAAACTTAATTCTGGCCGATATTTTGATATGTACTTTACTTTTCTAATTTCGCTACCCGATAGTTTCAGTTTATTTAGATTTCTTGATGATATTTACACGACTATATAAATTTTCACTATATAAATTAATATTAATCTAAATATTGTTAATAAAATTTATAAAATATTTATTTATATTATATTTATTTATTAATTAATATCAATACATCATCAATCTAATAATATATAAATTATTAAAATATCTGTCTATTTATATATTAAAACGTTTATTTGTTGGGATTACTACTAATACTTTTCTTAGATTATTACCTCTTTTAAATTTATACGAAGAAGGTATGAATCGTCCTAATATCCTTTGTATGGGTATTATACAATCTCTTGATTCTTCATAAAAGTTTTCTTGCCAAATTTCTATATCACATCGACTATCTTCTTTTAATGATAAGTAAAAACGGTGCGTGTTATCTGGTCGATACCATCGAACATATGCTAGATGGTATATATTATTATCATATTTATGTTGAAAAAAGAATTGTATTTTTCCCAGATATATGTCTACGGAATTGTCTCTATAAGCCATGAACTTCGCTCTGATATATGAGCGATTTTCATATCTAGGGGCAATCTTCGATCCATATATTTCAGCACCAATTTTTAATCTTCCAAACTGGGAAATAGCTCGTTCTATTGCTATTGGCTCAGTTACATAAAGATCACCATAAAGCTCTTCAGATAGTATAGAATAATAATTTATTAAATTTTGATAAAATTCATCAGAAGTATATACATTCTCATTTATCTTTCCAATCATCTCACCCGGATATTTTTCTGTACCAGTGATTACATTAACATTAGTAATTTTATTTGCCATCTTCAGATAATCTACCAAATCCTTACACTCAAAGTTTTCAGTCATTTTTAAGCTTCTACGCACTTTTTTATCTAAAAGAGAAAGAGCTTGATCTAATAATAATTTAGCCTCACTCATATTAACAGAATTTATTCTAAATTCTATTTGTGCATTTTTCATTAGAATACGCATAAGTTCAGGTTCAATAGACCGATTATTTGTAGGGTAGATTCCTAATAAGCCATTCATCCGCTCAAAAGAATAGCACCAATAAGTATATAGTAGACCATAATTCAGACAACATTGTCTTATCTGAAGAGACAAGTGAATATTTGATGTTATCATACAATATGTTGACCATAATGTTTCTCAATTAACTTTGCCATGTTTATTAGTCTAGTATGTGCTTCGTCTAGATCACTTTGCCTGACTATTCGGTTTATTAATGAATTACATACACAGACAAAATTAAAAATTATTTCTTTATCTTCAAGCTCTAGCATATCCTACATACATAGAATAGCATATACTTGATAAAATACCCTCTACTGATCTGCGTACGACTTTTGATGAAATACGTCTGATTTCTGATGAATCCTTTACATTTGATATATGCTTTTTGATTATTATAAGTTGGTCTCTATTATTATCTAATAAACATTGCTTCATTATCTACTTGCCGATACCTAAGAATAGGCAATGCATTGGATCGACTACCATAAATTTAACTGGATCAAAATATTTTAGCCAATATAGTTCTGACCATCTTATTCCGGTTCTTTTCACATGATCATCTCATTCTTTTTTATTTTTACAAGATAACTATTCATTCGCTGCTTTAAAATTTTGTGATATATCTACAGGATTAAACTATTCATTCATATTTTCAAAACTACCATAATGATTTCTTTTGGTTTTATAGTTATATCTTGCATGCTTTGGGCAACGATGACATTTTATT